ATAGTGCGAGTAGGTTGAGAGCTACATCCTCAGATTTGAGGCAGCAGATGTTTATGTAGCTGGACTTTCCATAATCTCCAGGACAGTTGAGCCTGAGTAGACATTGACTACTCCTTTAGGAGATGTCTGAACACGTGTAGAGTTCAATAAAACAGTCAATTTAGCCATACTCTTTTCAAACATTACATATTCCCATCACGGCCAACATTAGCCGGCCTAGAATTGAGTGAAGAATACCGTCTCCGATCACTTTGCATAGTAAAATCCTAAAGAGGTAATCGTTGAATGGTACTTATTATAAATCAGAGGTGCCGCCTTCACCCGGTTCTGACCGTTTACTCTCAGCAGTCTGGTAGTTCAATATTCCTCGCCGCCCTAGTACCCAGTTGAGATATCTCGAAATATTTCGATCAAAAGCATCCTGTTGGGAAATTTACCAAGAGATTTTCCTCTACGTGAACAATCAGAAGGGTGGGCCATGTCCAGTGCCTTCTCTATACATAAATCTATCGGCCACGAATATCCTTTCAAAAGTCCTTAAATTATAAGAGTCCGACATAATGGGCAACGCAGAGGTGCGTCAGAGTTTGCATCCATGTGAACGACTGCCTGGATGACGGCGACTAGTGTGACTAGTGCCAAATCCCGATATACATCTATGCTAGATCTTCTTCTACCCTTTGTCTGAGGAATAGTTTCGAATGGATAGGATTATAGCTCGTCACAGAAACATTCGTTGGTGCTTGTTTATTTGGAAGGTAGGCTTGACGCAATGCAATGTTTACGCCCGTTGAAATCGAGATTTTCGACCAAATCACAACCGAACGAGGGGCGCCTATTTCTTTCCATATTAGTGTGGCGTACAATACCTGAACCTTTCATTGGGTCGAAAATTACTATGCGAATATGGACATATAAGGCTCAATCTTTCCGGCCAGCATTTTCCTCGTTGAATTGTAGAGTTTATACAAGAGGCGAATACTAACGAAGGTCGAGCAGATGAAAGTTTCTCTTCCATCATACTATTCTAGAGAGTATCTGCAGTAATAGTTTCGTAGGTATCCCTCGACCAACTACAGCTCCTTAGCCGTCCTGCAGCATTTCGATCGATGACCTCCCATAGGCGAGCTCTATCATCCCATGAAGACAGAATCTCCTCTTCGTCATCAGGGTAGATCTGCAGGGCTTCTATAAAGTCTTGGGATTGGGAACTGTCTTCGTTCAAGATAGTGTCCACAGGAGCCTCGCAAAATCGCAATCCGCGATGACACATATAGCATCCTGGCCTAAGTCGGAACTCTCAACGAACGGATTCAGAGGAAGGCATGTACTTACAACGTCAAATCGAGAAGGATCTCTGCATTCCCTGCCAGAGATAAATCTCTATTGCTTGGTCGCTCTGCCCATTTCCCCTCAAGCAGCGTAGTGATGATTCTCCGGATGCTGAGAGAGCATGCAGTCCCAAAAGAAATTCTCTTTAGCTTCTTGACATTTGGACCTTGTTGTAAGTTTCTTCGTTCAATCATGATCATGAGAATATCCAGCTCAGGACACTCGTCAAGTTTGATCTCCTCCAAGCATGGATATGAGCTTGGTCGACAAGCGAGGCACTTAATAAGCGAAGTAAAAATATCGCTTCGTGCCTGTCTTCCCGTGTCCCAAGAAATTATCACGGATCTGAGGAAATTCAAGGAGAATTTGCTCCATTCTACTGCATCGCCATAGAATGAGATGGATTGAAGTGCCGGCCAGTGATCTAGATTAATAAGCAAAGGAAGGGATTTCGTTACGTAGTGACATTCACGAAGGAATAGTGATTTCAAAGTTTTGGACGAGAAGGAGCGGGCGACAACGTCATCGCATGCCAAGCACAGTTGATGTACGGATGAAGGGAGTGGAATCACATTTGGACACTCTACTATTCCAGAAAAGAATTCGAGAGACAGTTCTGTCCCGGAGAAAAGACCTTTGAGCTCGAATAGCGGAATAGACCAGGACCTAATCTCAAGGTCAATCAGAAGCTCGTCAAGGTTTGGCATGACTTGAAGTAATACTTTGATGAGCGCCTCTATTGATCTATTTTTGTTGGGTTGCGGCTCCACAACCGGCTGATTGAATAGGTGGGGACCCACCTCGTAGATATAGATCCGCAGAAAGCGCACAGTGACATTTCGAGACAGAGTGGGCACTAACGGGATAACCTCATTTTTCTCGATGTGGAATGTAATCCCGACATGATACAAGTTTTCGAATCGGTGAAGAATATTCACGATGGAATTGAAGGTTTTCGGGCCAATATCAACATTTAATCTCGTTAAAGATGAGAGACGCCCTAGTATCGAGGCCGGAAAAGGATTCAAATACGCATTGAAATAGATCTCCGTCCAATTAAGCTCGTGGACAAGCGTGACTTCCTGTGTACTTGGCTCAAATGACGAATCGCTCGAATAGAAGTCAACGCTTTTCAGAGAACTCAACGTTTCTAATATGGGTAATATAGTCCACACATCTTCGTAAGTACTGAGTGTCTCTACCTTCAGTCTATCCTTCGCGACTTGAAGGTCGTGACAGGTCAGTGGGACGAACATAAGGGAATCCAGAGATGGATATTGATCCAAGAGTTTTGGCACTTCGTATGAGTACTGGTTACTGACAACTAGAAAATGGAGACACCGTAGACTTGGAAGTGTGCCTAGATCGTCCAAAAAACTTCGCAAGTCGTCATTATAGCTACAGGCATTATGAGGCTGATAAGAGCCAGATGAATAGGGGTGAACTGTGTCTATTCTGTACTTGTGGTCGAGGAGTGCGGGTCGTATAGAATCCCAGCACTGATTCGGCAATGGAACATGGATAAAAAGAGGTAGATCCCGGGAGATATGAAGCTGAAGTGATAGTATAGCAGCCTTGTCATAATGATTGTCGAGGGTTATACGGTTCCATAGAATCGGCTCAGACAGTATGAAGGTACGCCACTTTCTGGATACCATCGTAAGCTCCAGGAGGCAAAAAGGTGCATATGCCGAGACGTCGACCATTATACTGGTTATGATCTCGTTAGGCAATCGCCCTATCGGGTCCGCCCGTAGACCCAACCGTCGTTCGCGAAGTGCGCATATTACTTGGTTGTACGATGCTTTCCTTTCTTGAAGCTTATCCTTGTGTTCTTTTTGACGTATAAGATCAGATATGTCGCTTCGAAGTCTCCATTGAAGGGCTTTTAATTTTTCTTCATCCGAATTTGCATCGTCCCTGCCTGCTATATTGCCTCGATTGGACATCCTTTGCGGCCGACCGCGTACTCTGAGTCTTAACACAGCGAAGAGTGAGAAATGGCCTCTGTAAATGTGGATATGGTAGAGAGGAAGATGCGCGCCAATCGATACTTGATCGACGGCCATACCAACGCCGTGCCGCTCTGTAGTGATCGTTCTGACCAGATACACCCGTCATGTCGATGATAGTCTTCGATAGATCTAGTATTGCTTTTTCAAAAAAGGTGTTCCTCCTACTTTGGTTTGGAATCAGACCTGATGAGCAAGGTTGATGTGGCACGCTTTATATTGTGTGAGCGGCCTGCTCTGAAGTTCATGCCGACACACTACTTGCGTCCCCCCACAAGATGCCTAAGCCGATCATGGGCTTCCAAATCGCTCAAA